TGAGATGGACTTACAGATTAATAACAAAAAAACTAAGATAATGGTTTTCCAAAATGGTAGCAAAAGATCAAGTAAGCTTAAATGGTTTTTGGGTAAACAAGAGATTGAAATAGTGGAAAAATATAAGTACCTGGGCCTTTGGTTCAAATATAATCTTAATATGAAAGACCACTTTGAGATTACTGCGGGAAAAGCAAAAGGAGCTTTGGTGAAATTATTTAAAATTGCTAATATCCCAGGACTGGCTTCATATGCTCCACATCTCAGGCTGTTTGATACAACAGTTAAATCCGTTATGTCGTATGGTGCTCAGGTCTGGGGTTTGGCTAATGCCAATAATTTTGAGTTAATTCATAGAGAATTTTTGAAGAAAATGTTGGGCCTCAGATATCACGCATCGAATGTGGCTGTTTTATGGGAAACTGGTCGGGTACCACTGAAAATCTTTTTTATAAAAGCAGTTCTAAAATATTATGTAAGAATATTGGAATTGCCTAGAGATAGGCTACCTAGAATCAGTATCGAAAGAATGTGGATGAAAGCGGAGAGTAATTCATGGTGGCTGGATTTCAAAAATTGGCTGGAACGGTTGGGCTTCGGTGATATGGTCACCGAGAAGCAAATTGATAGATGGAAAGAACGAATACCGTCTATAGTTATGAGATGCATAGAACTAGAACTACAGAATATGAATAATGTGCTGAATAGTTCTGGGTTGCTGCGATATTATCGCCCGGTTAAACCGGATTTTGGCATGGCAGGATATTTAAGGGATGCTAGAATCTCAATTGCGATGAAAAAACAGATTGCGAAACTGCGGTTAAACTGTTATATGTCGCGAAGTGCTTCTTTGATATGTAAGATTTGCAACCAGATCTGTAGTTACAGTGATTGGTGCTACCATATGTTTAGCAATTGTGGATATGATATGTACGGGGAATACTTAAGAATGTTGCGTGGTGGTTTTAACTCATATTTCTTGGATTTGTTCGAATTTAACAAGATGTTAAAGAAATTAGATGGTTTAAGTTAAGCGAATTTATTGTTTTGTTTTCCCCCCTTTGATATTGTACTGAATTATATGTCAAATAAACTATTATTATTATTAGTATATTTATCCTCTTCTAACAAGTAAGTGCATTGTTATGTGATACTAATTATATTTATTTAAGAACCCATTATCAAATTAACAAAATTTTATAAAACTGTTTCAAAATTGTGAAGATATCTACATATTAATTTGCTATAAATGAATATACTGTATATAAATATAAATTTATATACTGTATATGTATATAAATTTCACTGTCAACTTCCAAGCACTTTTCTACTCACAAGAACACAGCATGTTTCTTATCGACTGCATCTGCACATTCCTTTACCTACAACAGCATCTATTATGAAAGCTACCAATTAATCTCATGTAGCTACCTTTATTCAGTACACTTCATTCTCCATTCAACTCCATAACAAAAGTTTGATTGGGCTAGTCTAGAGATCTTGGTATACGTACCGTACATATATACATAAGGATTTGTGGGATTGTAAACTTTTACCACTTTTACCGAATTTGTAATATACCAATTTGCTAATTTTAGTTTCATCTTATGCACTCACTGTGTTAATTTAGTTTCTATATTCAGCCTCATACTTCATTTGATTAAATTATAGCTACAGAAAAGTTTAGACAATCTAAATGATTTTTAAACTTACCCTCTGTATATATGTCCAGGTATTTTCCGATTAAATCTAAAAGCATATCTACATATATTCGTAATAAACATGATACAGGATTTATGCTAAACGAGTTTCGTTGCGCCGCCTCTAGTGAAAAGGCGCGATCATGCTGCCACCATAATATCCGGTTCGAGAATAGAAAATTTCCGCCATGCTCCGATTTAAAAAAAAAAAAAAAAATCAGAGTTTTCCCTTCATTTCATAAAATATATGCAAATATCCAAACTTTTCCCCATACGAGCCAAATTTCCCACCATGTCGCAGCATTAGACGCGACATGCATAATATACTTAATTAAACCTTTACGCAAAAAATTCATAAATTTAATATTTTGTCTGAGATTTTATTGATACTTCTTTCTAAAATATTGAATACATAATATAAATAATCTCTTAAAAAAAAAAAAAATGTAAAATTTTAAGTACTCAAGTTAGAGAGCGCTTCGAGCGCAAAACAAGAAACGAGATGGCCATGTGTAGGATAGTAAATACTAATTTGAAATTATTGTCCTCATGTATAAAAAAGTTTTACTTTCAACCAGGTAAAAAATAAACAGTTAAAAATTAGATTGACAATATTTGAATTATATTTTGGTATTATTTTATTATTAAAGAATTAAATGTTTAAAATAAGTTTTAACTTTATATCCATTGAAAGAAGTAACTTAAATTTAAAAATTGCTTATTTTATATTGTTTTATCGTCCACAATTGCACTTACACGCCTCATTCGAGATAAGAAGCTCTTTTAGATTCAATTTTTTTATCATCATGCTTTAAGATGATGATTCAAATCTATTATTTTAAGTTTTGGATTGTTAGCACATTTTTATATGTGAAAAAATAATATGTTTATTGATGATATTTTGTTGCACACTTCCACACTAAGAGTGGGCTGGATGGCCCAGCCATCAGCCCACTCTTAACATGCCAGCCTACCACTCTAGGGAACCTGGGATTGACTTCAGATGAGCAACACCCCAAGAATTTTTTGGGGCAGTTTGGCATGGATTGTTGAGTTTACCAGCCTTTTATTTGGTGGAACATCTGCAGAACTGCTAGATTTCAAACAGGGCTTGAATAGAAAATCTGCCTGCAAACTTATTGTGGAAACTTATTGTTGATTCACATAATTTTACATGATTATGAAATGACTTGAAGTGGAAAATTTATGATTAGAATGTTAAACAGGCTTTAGTGTCCATAGGGTGGAAAGAGTTAATTAAATAAAAACTTGGCACTGGAAAATAATAGTGTGTTTTGTGGAATTTCTTCTTTTTTTGTGTCTATTCAACACACCTTGATAAGACAGTTATTTTTGTTGTGTATTTGTCTCTTTAATCCGATTTTCAGTTCGGTAGACTATCATATACAGCATTCAGGTTATAAACTTCTTTTATTGGTTTGTCATATGCATTTCGGACTCAATTGTAATTACAATTGGTATGGATGCATTTCGGACTCAATTGTAATTACAATTGAGTCCGAAATGCATATGACAAACCAATAAAAGAAGTTTATAACCTGAATGCTGTATATGATAGTCTACCGAACTGAAAATCGGATTAAAGAGACAAATACACAACGAAAATAGCAGCAGCCATAAGTGATTTTTTAAGACAGTTATTATTATTATTATTTTTTTTTTGCATTGTTTGGAATTTTATCTTTAATCAAACATTCAATGATTTTTTTGTCTTAATTTCATGTTTTTTTATAGTTAAACTAGTTATTTGACAAAGGGATATATGTGCAGTAGTGAATTTAGAAACGTGATAACCTAGGCCACTGTTTCTCAACCTCTAACAAATTGTTGCCCCCTTCAATAAAACCATTACGTAGTATCGTCCCCTTCACTTCAAAATTCCAATGCAGAGGGCCAAGGCTAACACCAAATTTGCACTGTATTGAATAGACTAGTGACTAGTATAATGTTATTTGTTTAATTATGTACGATATAATGAATAAAATATCCAATTATTCTTAATATAATGTTTTACTATATCGCCCAGAAAATTGTTTTTTGCCCCCCCAAAATATAAATTGTTACTAATCACCCCCTCAACATGGAAAAATGCCCACATGGGAGCAATATCGCCCTCGTTGAGAAACACTGACCTAGGCCTACAATATGCAGGCATCCCCTTTTTTAATTTTTTAATTTGAAAATTTTTTAATTGAAATAACAAAACTGACTAGACCTGGCATTCTTTGGCCTATCCCTTGTGCACAAACTCCATCTCCAACCAACCAACCTTGAAATAACATGACTTCTGGTGCAAACTGGATGTTGGTATGGAGCCTCCTTCCCCTAAGTTTTCCATATCTGTTCTCATCTTTCATCTATCTAACTTTGTTCTCAAGATTAAGGAAGGATAGATGGACAACAGCGAGAATTTATAGGTCTACAATTTTTTCAAATTTCAGCCCAATTACTCAACTAATATGTCTTATTTTTTCCCTATTTAAACTTTTAATTTGCACTAATTCCTTTATGAATCAGTGTTTCTGCATAAAATTATTTTTTCATTACATTATTGTTATTAAATTTTTGCTTCTTCTAACCCTTGCACCCCTAGGACAGACCTAGTGGGCCTAATGGTAAATGTGCTCCCTGTGTATGTGCTATGAATAATTATTTCCTGAATATGTAATCAAATTTTTTCAGCCATCTGATAGGTTTCCTTAGTGCTAAATATTCAAGGAAAGATTATAGTAGTAAATTATATAATTATATATATAATGCCTTTTCATACGTTTTTAGCATTTGTTTATAGTTCTAATGAACTAAACCACAAAACACAGAGATATGTTTAAAAAATTTATTCCTAGAACCTATAACCGGTGTGTCATAAAAAAACAAAAGAAAAAAGTTCACCACAAACATTTTCGAACTGCTGTGTTCTTCTTCAGGTGTAAAACGGAATTTCTGATGGATCAGAGTGAACGGTTTAGGAAATTTGAGAAACATTCAAAGGTGTTATATGAGGAGCATGTGTATTCATCTGGTTGACATATCATGACACTTAAAAGTTCGGAGTCCATCAACACCTGCTGGGTCAGCAACAGAACCAACTCATCTTTAAAATTGATGCAGTTGTCATTGAGGGTCAATTTATAGATGTGAATGATTTCTAGCCACTTAAGATGTTCCATGTGTGACGTAGTGTGGACGAGCTTTGCCTGGTGGAAAGCCATCACAATGTCTGGATCGACGGCATATGTGGCGAGGACAGTGGTATTTCTCTTATGATGTATGTCCGCTATATGCTCCTGTACTCTGACCTCCAAGAAGCGTTTGGTGGATCTGATGTAAATGAGGTCCCTATCAAATCTGTTGTCCCTAATGGGAATACTATAGACGCCAGGGAGTCTGTTCTGGTTGGGGGTCTTTTCCATTGTGTAGGATGTCAAAGATGGTTGGACATCTCCTATATGTGATCTGAATACATCGTTTCTTGGTGATCTTGGTACAAAGCATTTTTAGGTACGGATTGAATGTGATAGGGACTCGTTGTACCATGTGGGAGCGATTGTCAGATCGTATTCAGATCACATACAGGAGATGTCCAACCATCTTTGACATCCTACACAATGGAAAAGACCCCCCAACCAGAACAGACTCCCTGGTGTGTATAGTATTTCCATTAGGGACACCGGTTATAGATTCTAGGAGTACAGTTCTAATGAACATTTTTGGCTTGATTTACAGGCCTTCAGGTTAGAAGTCATTCCAATTAGAAGTTATGTTGTGTTCCAAAATAGAACAATTCAAAGTTTCTTGGAGGTTATTTAAATTTATTGTTTTAACTTAAGATTTATAAATTTAAATAAAATTATTTATTGAAAATATAAAATAACCTACAGTAAATATTAAATACATCAAATTTGGTGATTTAAAAAAATTTTCATACCGGACCTATATTTATGGGACATTAAAAAATCAAAAAGTTTACTGTATAAATTTTTTATTGAATTTTAAATAATAAATGTTTATTGGAATGTAATTGTTATGCAATAAGTATGTTAGTGATTAATTATTTCTTCATTTCTTTGAATAGTTTTTTTAGAAACTTCATTTTACTAGTTGGATCTATATTTATGGGATGCACTGTACCTTAGCTATAAAAATTAAATTAGATTGTTTAATAAAATTTAAAATTTTACTTCTAATATAATGTTATCATTTTATTGAATTTCTAATAGTATAAGTTTTGAAATTGTTTCAATTTATGTACAGTAAGAAATTTCCGTAACTGGGAAATAGCTAAAATGATGATAATGAAAAAGAGAAGGAAAATAGCGGGTCCTCCTCCAGTAGTACCTCGTTCAATGTGGCCAACTTGGTAATTGAATTTTAATAGTTTAGATAATTAATAAATTTAAAATATTTTTATCGTACATATTATTACTGTATTATCACCATAAAATATATATAATTTTATATATATATATTATAATGTATNGCATAACACCAAAATTGCTGCTTGGCCGATTGTTGTGCCTCTTGGCATAAAATCCATCAACAAAATCCATTTCCTGTCCCAAAAGACAGTTGCCATGATCTTTTGTGCTGAAATTGTCTGTTTGGCTTTTACTTTGGTTGGCGAAGATGTGTGTCACCATTCCATTGACTGTTGCTTGGACTCAGGAGTCATGTGAGACACCCAAGTTTCATCTCCTCTAACGATGTGGTCCAACAATTCATCTCCTTCCTGATCATATCGAGTCAAAAATGATAAAGCACTGTCCAATCTATTTGTTTTGTGATCATCAGAAAGCAGTCTTGGAACCCACTGAGAACACAATTTTCAATAATTCAGTTCCTCTGAAACAATAGTATACAAAACTGATCTTGAAACCTGTAGAAATTCAATTGATAACATTGAAATCATGAATCATCGGTCCTCTCGAATTTTGTTATTCACATCACGAACCAAATCTTCAGAAATCGGAGAAGGTCAGCCAGGGTGTGGCTCATCATGCACATTAACCCACCCATCCTTGAACATTCTCACCCATTTTTGAACTTTACTGTCACTCATAGCCCTATTTAAACTTTTAATTTGCACTAATTCCTTTATGAATCAGTGTTTCTGCATAAAATTATTTTTTCATTACATTATTGTTATTAAATTTTTGCTTCTTCTAACCCTTGCACCCCTAGGACAGACCTAGTGGGCCTAATGGTAAATGTGCTCCCTGTGTATGTGCTATGAATAATTATTTCCTGAATATGTAATAAAATTTTTTCAGCCATCTGATAGGTTTCCTTAGTGCTAAATATTCAAGGAAAGATTATAGTAGTAAATTATATAATTATATATATAATGCCTTTTCATACGTTTTTAGCATTTGTTTATAGTTCTAATGAACTAAACCACAAAACACAGAGATATGTTTAAAAAATTTATTCCTAGAACCTATAACCGGTGTGTCATAAAAAAACAAAAGAAAAAAGTTCACCACAAACATTTTCGAACTGCTGTGTTCTTCTTCAGGTGTAAAACGGAATTTCTGATGGATCAGAGTGAACGGTTTAGGAAATTTGAGAAACATTCAAAGGTGTTATATGAGGAGCATGTGTATTCATCTGGTTGACATATCATGACACTTAAAAGTTCGGAGTCCATCAACACCTGCTGGGTCAGCAACAGAACCAACTCATCTTTAAAATTGATGCAGTTGTCATTGAGGGTCAATTTATAGATGTGAATGATTTCTAGCCACTTAAGATGTTCCATGTGTGACGTAGTGTGGACGAGCTTTGCCTGGTGGAAAGCCATCACAATGTCTGGATCGACGGCATATGTGGCGAGGACAGTGGTATTTCTCTTATGATGTATGTCCGCTATATGCTCCTGTACTCTGACCTCCAAGAAGCGTTTGGTGGATCTGATGTAAATGAGGTCCCTATCAAATCTGTTGTCCCTAATGGGAATACTATAGACGCCAGGAGNGATGAAAACCAGCTTTAAGCAACGGCGTAGTCGAACGGTGTAAGTAATCCTACAATTTTTTGTTTATAGCATAGTTTATACAGATTATTCCCAAAAAATTATACGTATTTTGGAAATGTTGAGTGGAATTAGTCTAGAATCGGTTAATTTTATAGAAGAAAACCTTTCGAACAGCCTTAGTCCGTAAAGTTCCCACCTATCGGGCTGCGATTGGCTCATTCCTACAACGTAATTTTCGGTTAGCGTGGAACGTATCTAAGCGTTATAGGGGGGTCTACTGTATAAACATTTTTATTTTTTATAATTTTAAGTCTTCTTTATTCTTAATATAAGATACAACATTACAAATAAAAATGCATTCACACATCAAGCTCTAATATACTCTGGTCAAAATAATTAGGAGGACAAAAATTTTGCATAGAATTTCATTAATGGCAAACAGTTTGGAATGTCAGATGTTACTGTTACATAATACACAGTAATACATTTTAAAAAATATACGTTTAAGCTAAATTATTGTTATATTTTTATTTTTTTGCACTGTTACAATGTATTGATCAACAATATGTATGGTACATCTACACAAGCAGAACAAATGAATTTTTAGAGTATTTTACTGACTTGTAGGTTGTATGTTCTCTGTAAATGGCAAAACTATTTCTCTTCTGTGTGACTTAAAATTGAAGAGATGAGAAATTCTTTGCCACTCTTCAATGAGAGCAGTCACATATTCCCCTAATTGTTTTCACCTGTGTATTATCAATGTGACTGAAAAATAGATTAACTTATAAAATGCATCCAGAAATTAATTTTCCAGAAATTAAACTAATCTGAATACTTTATTACAAAATTGACTTAATGTTTATTACAGATTTTTTTTTGACAGATATAAATATTATTTTTAATTTTGAATAAATACAATGCCACTGACTACAATAACTTCCTAAATAAATAATAACTCCATTAAAATTCAACAAATATTGACAATCAACCTTGAAGTGATGTTAAAATTTATAATCTAGAATTTTAATCATAATGTTGTAACATAGATGTATTTGATTTGATTTATCAATAATAATAATAATAATATTTTTAGGAATAGAACTTCAGAAATATTTGCTTTTGGAAAAAGATTAAATGAGGAATTTAAAGAAGAAACATTAGAAACAGTCTTTACACATCAATCATATATAACTAAAGAAGAAAAGAAAAGAGAAAATTTAGAAGTATCAATGCAAGATTTAGCTTTGAAATTGGTTGATAATTCTGTACTTATTTCAGAAGGCATGTTATTTTACAATTGTTATAAAGATAGAATTAAGTAAAATTTACTAAATAAATTTAATTTGTATATCAGGTACAGCTATCATGACTAGATATATCATGGCTTATTTAAGACATGTATTTCCATTTTTACCTGAAGAAGGAATATGGTATGTAATCATATTTGTTTTATTTATTTATTTTTTTTCATATTGTTCAATTCTATTATTGATTTAATGATGACTATTTTATCCATCAGAAGTAGTAGGACAATGTTTAAAGCACTGTGATATTATTATTAATAGCACTGTGATCAGTCTTCAAAATATCTTTCAATCTTTCTTTGTGTGATCTTCATAGTTAATAGAATTACCTTGATGTGTTGATTTATGTATTTCAAAGACTTCTCTGGTCAATGATGGGAACTGAGTATACCTCAGAGATACTCAATGAGTCTGGTGGGTCCTTATCATATTCACAACTTAGTATGTATTGATATGATACCTAGATCTTTCAGAACCTGCTTGAAAGAATATAAATACAATATTCAGATGTCTATCTAATACATCACTATCAGTTTTATGCCCTTGATGGTTTAGTTAATGTACATTGGAATCAGGCCAGGCTCATGAAAACCATCAGAAATAAGCATCTCCTACAACATGTGGAAGCCTTTGAAATAAATAAATCAACACATTTTTGACAGCTTGGATGATATGGTTTGAAATTGACACCTAGTAACTTTCAAGGATGTTTTTTATTACTGTTATTTGTTACTTTTGTTTTTCATCACTCATATGGGTGATTTATATATATTTTGTAATTTTTTATTATTTTTGTCATTTTTATTATTTTTTTATCTATATTTGTGCATTTTATGTATTTTTTGTATTTTATATGTTATTTTATTTACTTATATTACACTATTTAATCTTTGTTTAAATTTAAAATGTTTAGCATTCTCTAATTATATTATTTTTCTTGTGTTCTAAATCATTTAATTGTAATGTTTGAACCCTTCTTAATCTGAATAGGGTCTTTTAATGAGAGTGAAAATGTTCATTATTAAATAGTTTTGTTGCTTAAAAGGTTGTGAGTGTATTTGTTTGAAGATTGGAATAACTCAGTCATGATGAGCAAAGACTTGAAAGTACTTACCAATTTGGTGAATTTATTTATGTTTATTATTCCATTAAAAGTTTATTGTGTATTTATTATATTTTGGATTTTTGTGTACATGAATTTTTTCAGTCATACAGACATAACATCAGAACATTTAAAGACTGATTATTTTTCTGTCAAATGTAATTTTGTACATTTATCATTAAAACTTATTCCATCTTCATTATAATGGAATCCAAGTATTTAAAGAAGGATACCCTTGGAAAATTCTTCTGTTCATGTGAATGTTAATTATGCTTATATTTCCAATGATAATATATATATATTTTCAAATTCTTTAAATACTATCCTTCTAATTATAAGCATAACAACTTGGTTATCAGCAAAAAGAATTGTGTCTGTATTCTTGGTTTGGTTTATTTGTTTACAGTAATGCTAGCACTCTGCTTAGTGTTGCTGTCACCTGATGATTCATATAGTGACTCAATCATTGTCCTATGTGCCTTCATACTTCGCACAAAATAGAAGGAGATTTGCAATTGTGAGGAACTGCCCCTTTTAACAGTGATGGTCTGGTGAAGACTGCTCACTTTGTCACTGGATGGGTTTTACCCGAGTGACTGAGGGGTGATGAGTCCGTTGATAGGGTTTTGGCTCCTACTAAGTCCACACGAGATTAGGTTAAACAACAAAAATAAAAATTTAATGAACTGACTCAAAAGCATATGATACAGTAAGCTACTACACTACTGGTTTGTCTACCTTTCATAGTTAACATAATGTCTGAGCCTATTCCTATGTGCTGGTATTTTTTCTATTCAGTCTATATGACTGTATCAGATAGACATTAAAGCCTTATATCTAAGTCCTTATAGGCTAATTGACTGTGAAAGAGAGTTTACATTTTCTTAAGTAGTATACCTCTTAGAACAGTGTTTCACAATGTTTTTCTACTTGCGGCACACCATGACTCAGCATGGCACACCAAAATGTTATTCCCCTCAATAACGTATGAAATGATACTATTAATAGAATTACGTAATGCCACTAACCTATTATTATTGTTATTAAACAGGCATCAACACCTATGAGCAAATTTATTTTACATATAATTTCTTAGAATACATAAAAATGCATGTCTTGTAATAAAGAATAAACAAACATCATCTTATTTCATCAGTGCTGCAGCAGAGAATGAAATACAAGCATAAGAAACGAACAACTGTGATAAAAATATATAAATAAAACTTGAAATTAACAAAATATGTAAAAGTTTATGTCACACCTTTCATCATGTGATGGCACACTGGTTGTGGAACACTGTCTTAGACTGATGATTCCAGATTCCAGATGTATGGGATGTTGGCAAAACACACCAGGATTGGCTGTCAGTAGGGTGGCAAGTAGTCCTCCTTCCTTCTGTGTCAGAAACATCTTGGTGAAGAGACGGAAGACAGGAGAAGACAAGGTGAGAGTGGTGACAGACGGAAGCTTGTCCTCTTGCTTCTGGGAGAGTGTCTGCACCTTGATTGTTGGGTGTGACCCTTTTTATATGTGTTACATGTGAGAATTGACTCAGGTGACTTTGATTTAATATGCTCTAAGTTCGAATCGTGTCCAAATTTGGCTGATAATAATTTGCATTTAAAAGTGGCATGATAATTCCCTTTAGAAACCTGCCCAATGTCCTGCTATTTCTAAGTTAAAAGGTTAATTTGAACTAAATATGGGTAGTTATAGATAAATTTTTAATTTAAAGAAAATTTCATTTAAAATGAAATAACCTGGTGTTATACTCATATAATTTTGCTTATCAATATATGTTACTGGCCAAACTCGATTTCAGGCCAAAAATGGGTTTATCCTATGCATGTCAGGATATACTAGTTTAGCCCAGGACAATCTAGTTTGGCCTAAATACTTTAGGCTTAACTAGTTTGACCTAGGCCAAACTGATTTAGAGTTATTATTCAAGTATATTAATGGTTAAAATAAAATTAAAAGGCAATCAATTAAGTGAACAATGTTTATTTAAACATAGTGTACTTAATTATAAAAAACAGTATTGATTAGAAGTGACACAACACTTGTACAGTACAAAACTATAAAATAAAAATAAGCTAATCAGTACTTATCAGTTCGTATGTTTTTTTTTTGTTTTTTTTGTTTAGCCATGCACTTTTAAAGGTAATTAACTTTCGAAAATATTTTCAAAAATTAAACAAAATAATAAAAATAATTTTTAGAGTCTAACTAAAATTAAAAATTAACTTATTTGTGCTTCTTAGTGTAACATATAAAATATTTAATCTTTTATTTATTTTTACAGGGTGTACTGTGGTGGCATTTCGAATTACACAAAATCATTTTTTT